AGTAGTTACAATAAAAATGAAACAACTTATCTTAAAAATGCACCAATTACCTCTCTGTCCAAGAAAATGCCCAGATAACCAGGAACCTCTTTTACTTAAACGTTCTCATTTTAATGTATTTGTACATATAAATCTTGTGCTCACAGATAATTTCAGAAGCAATGGTATGAATAGACAAATGAGCAATTATTCCAGAAAGTACGTACAATTTATGTGCAGATAGGAAATTACCGCATAATACTTTACTTACTTCAAGAATCTGTACATTGAAAACAGAGTTCTAGCCTCAGGCAATGTCATAGATGAATGTCCTGCAAATTATTCTAAAGTAAAATTGGAAAGTGTCAAAATGAGAATATAATGTTAAATGTTATAAAAATAACCATGAAATCCTTACAAATGCTATAGCACCCTTATATTTATTTGATGTAGGCATTCTTGATTTATAATTTTACACAGAAGCCTAGGCTTATTCTTGTCAGAGCTCAGATATTACTATATTATTCCAATCTGGTTTTTGCCATGCAAACTGTTAAGGCAATATAATAACTAAAAAAATGCATAAAGCCACCAGAGTACAGGGTATGACTATCAGGTAACTATAAAAATGCACATGTACTCAGCTCACAAGCCATTTATAACTATGCTTTCCCAGCTATTGATATGCCTTAGATACAAAAATGGCTTCAAATTTTTCCTTTTTGATCAAGTTAAATGAATAGGCATGCACTATGAAGACCACATCTTTTAAATCTTAATATTTTAATATTTAGGAACTAGATTTCTGTCTAAAGCTTACTAATGATAATCAGGTTATCAGCCCTTGATCTGTCATCTCCCAAGTTCCATTAAACTACCCAATAAAAGCACAGAAAAAGACAAGAACTAGCAAAAGCATTGATAACTAAGGATGTGGAGCAATTCAGTCAACTTGCCAGGGTGCAAGGAGAACTGTAACTCTTATATCAGAGGAGTTAGACTGACGAATATATTGGTGGACTAAAATTAGTCCACCTCTGAAGGAAAAAGCACAAGCACGGAATTATAGCTGGGAATTATAGCTTTTGTATATACTGGATATAGTCAAAGAACAATGACATACTGCCTACAATATAAATTATTCTCTTCATAGGGAAACAAACAAAAAGTAAACAAGCGAATAAAAGATTGGCACAGTGAGAAGATCTGAGATCCTTCAGTTCTATTGAGCCGCGCCTTTTGGCAGTCTACTATTCTGCTACTCACTAGCTATGTGATTTGGAGCAAGTGATTTAACCCTTCTGAAACAGTTTCATCTTTAAAATAGATTTAAAGTGACTTCCAGTCTTAGGTGAATAATGAGAAATATATATGAACATATATGAAAATGCCCTTGTATAGAATTTGGCACATATTAAGTGCCTAATATATACCCTTTTCCTTCTCGTGACATTTATTAACCATATTTGCATCATTGCTATGTGCATGGTATATGTCAGACCTACATTTCTGGAACTGTCATCCAATAATACTACCTCCAGGTATCCACTTAGGGGAATAATCAGATTTTAGAAACTCTTAATTTATATAGATGCTCCCTGACACATTATTCAGAATAGCAAAGATGTAAATAATTTAAATATGCAAAAATAGACAAATACGATAAACTATCACAAGGCCATTAAAAGTATGATTATGAAAAGTTTTCTGTAGCATGGGAAAATGTTTAATTTAAAATGTTATCTGAAAAATAAGACAAACATTTCATATAAGTAAAAAATGAACTGCAACCAACTGGAAAGAAAATAATAAAATGTTAATATTTGCTTTGAGTGGTAGAAGGTAAAATCATTGTATTTAGATAGAATACTCCTCTGTGATGTTTAAATTTTCTAAAAATACATGTATATGAGCATATATGACTTTTGTAATAAAAAGTCTATTAAAAATAAATACAGGAAAGTACCAACTATTTGTCTAAGTGTGATTTGACCTGAGTGTTAGTTGCTCTAGACAGCTGTATTAGTCTGCTAGGGCTGCCATAAGAAAGTACCACAGATAGGGTGATTTAAACAATAAAAATTTATTTTCTCAGTCTTGGAGTCTAGAAGTCTGAGTGTTGGTGTTGATAGGGTTATATTCTTCTGAGGCCTTTTCCCTTGGCTTGTAAATATCCATCTTCTCTCTGTCTTCACATTGTCTTCCCTCTGTACACATACATGTCTGTGTCTTAATTTTCAATTTTTAAAGTACACCAGTCATATTGGATTAAGGCCCACCCAAATGATGACATTTTTATTTAATTACTTATTTGAAGATCCTGTCTCCTAATACAGTCACATTCTGAGGCACTGGGGGTTAGTACTTCAACATATGAATTTGTAGGAACATAATTCAGCTCACAACCATACCCTCTGCTAGATTATTTTTAACCACTTTCCTGACCTTACTTCCTACTGTGTAAAGAAGTCAATGGTCATCAACAGAGTAGAGATAACATGATTTACTGGAGTCAACTGATTTGCTTTTTTATCCAAACTCTGCCACTTCGTACCTTTGTGACCTTAGTCAAGATAAACACTCTAAACCTCAGTTTCATGATCAGCAAATGAAGATGATAATATCTGTCTCATAGGATTCTTGTGCATATTAAAAGAAATATTATATACGGAACTTATTATGGTGTCTGATTAAAGTAAATATTAAACAAATGTTACTTTCTTTTTCTTTTTTTCTATTAGTGAAAACTGCTTCAATCTCTTCAGCTCAACTATGGGACTTATCCACATTCATACCTTCTCCCTCTTTTTTTTCCCTGAGGCAAAATTCTCTACCCTCATGTTCTCTGTTCCATTAACTCCAGTCTCTTTGGGTAGTTGGCTTCATTAAGATAAACCTGAATTCACATCCCAGATCTGTTACTAACTTCGCTGAGTGACTTTGGGACGTTTAGGTAATCTTTCCGACTCGGTTTATAGTTTGTAGAATGAGGATAACAGTACCTACCTCATGGGGTAGTTGTGCCTGTCACTGGTGCCCAGCATCAGTAAATATGCGCTGAATGAATACTGATTATGACAACAATGAACATTTGTTGACCCTATGTACCAAGCAGTGTGCTATATATTTTACATATTTTATTACATTGCATTTTCACAAGGACAATGTCAGGTGAATCAATAAATTCTATCTCTTTTGCTTAAGCTAATGCAACATGGCCTTCTTCATCGTGTAACCAAAGAACACTTTCTAAAATAGTAGTTGAATCTGTTTTTTTCTAACATTCTGACAGGATTATAATATACAATAACATGTCCACCTAGGAGAGTGTAATATTTCTTGATATATATTTCATTCCCATTTTGAATCCAATGTCATAAAAATATTTTTTTTTGTAAGAATGAAGAACATTGTTATTTATATATGGTCCAAAAACCACAGTGTATAGCCCTATATATAATGCCAACACTTCTAACAAGAGAACAAGAAGCAGCCTGAAGTGACAGGAGATCTGCATCAAAAGATTGAAAGTTAAGAAAGGTACTGAAGAAGTAAACTATTCTTTATTCATCCAAAAATGACTTATATTTATCTTCACACACACAAATACACACAAGCAAAAGGTGTTTATTTTTTTTATTGGTTATGAATATTCATGGGTTACAAAGCCAATTGTCACCACTCATGCCTAAGATGTGATGGCCAGATCCATACTAGCAACATGCCCATTACCACAAATTGTGATTATACCCCATGTCCCCCACCCAATTATCCCCAACCTTACTCCCTATCCCCTTTTCCCCACTCCACTTTGTATCCCTAGGTATGTTCTCTCCCTCTGCAAGTCAAACACACCACAGTGGTCTTTCTTTCCTTCTTTCTTTCTGTCTTAGCTCCCTCTTATGAGTGAGTACATATGGTATTTATCCCTCTGTGTTTTGCTTATTTCACTCAACATAAGTTTCTCCAAGCTCATCCATGTTGTTGCAAATGGGAGAATTTCATTCTTTTTTATGGTAGAGTAATATTCCATGGTGTGTATATACCACATTTTCTTTATCCAATGATCCATCAATGGACATTTGGGTTGGTTCCATATCTCAGCTATTGTAAACAGAGTTGCGATGAACATGGGAGCTTCAACATGATGATTTCCATCCCTCTGGGTAAATACCCCAAGGTGGGATTGCTGGAGTATATGGAAGATCTATCTGTAGTTGTTTGAGAAACCTCCATACTGTTTTCCATAGTGGTTGTGCTAATTTACAGTCCCACCAACAGTGTAGAAGCAGTTTCTTCTCTCCACATCCTCGCCAGCATTTGTTATTCTGTCTTTTTGATTATAGCCAGTCTAACTGGGGAGAGATGATATCTCAATGTAGTTCTAATTTGCATTTCCCTGATGACTAATGATGTTGAGCATTTTTTCATATACCTGTTGGCCATGTCTTCCTTTGAAAAGCATCTATTCAGTTCCTTTGCCCATTTTTTCACTCACAACACATTAACGAAATTATTAGGAAAACTGGACTACCAGGACTGAACATGTTACAGAGTGCACACAATTCTGACAGGGAGAGCAATGATTAAGGAGTGGTTTTCGTTAAGAAAAAATTCTACTAAAAAACAACATGGGAATAGAAGTAATTTTAAATGTTTAAGACTCATTAAATATATGACTGTGACTCCAAATTGCCATTAGTATGCTTTGTATTACAGGATACAAAAACTACCCCCACCAGACTATGGAAGGTTAAGCTGCCACACAAGACAGTCAAAACCTCCAATAATTCAGTATTCCACTATTTTCTGGTTGTACCAAAAAATAAACAACCAGCAAATGATCTCACCTCTTAAAAAAAGCATTTACACTTAAAAAATGGGATGAGGTGGGATTCCCTGCTTCTTAAAAATGTTTCTAGAACTACTAAAAAACTTGCTTTTGCAAAATGGTTGATAAAAATATTCCTCTGGATTGTACAAGGGTGACAGGGACCACTGATAAGACATGGTAGATGATATTAAGATTTGTCTTCTTTCTCTCCTGCTTCATCAGAGGCTGGGCTTTCCTCTGTGGAATATACTAGAAAGGATATGTACTTCACAGGGCCTGCTTTTCCAAAGCCTTGCAGTTTCAAATATTGACCTTACAAGGACAGGAAATTTCCCTCAGGATATAAGCAGGTTGCAAGATAAGAATTGTGGCACAGCAGGTTGCTGGCTCAAGGACAGACTAGTTACTGATTGCTATGTAAAGATACTGAGAAATTGATGTAAGAAGGAATGTTTGCTAAGATCAAGCTGTTGTTGATAGGACCACTTAATTGCCTTACTGGAATGTCATCTGACTTGTTTCACTGAAAGTTACCAGTCTATATTGTTAAACTATAATCCCACCTATGTTCTCTTCCTGTAACTTCCTGGTCTGGAAAATAAATGCAGGAAGAGAACCCCAGTTCAGGGTTAATTTCCCAAGGAAGGGATGGCTCTCTCTTGAGCGTCCCGGGAAAGTTAACCACTTTGGGATCTCTCACTGCTCAGAAGAGATGGGCTTTGAGTAATGCTTTGCGGCTCTGTCATCCAGGGCGAGTGGGGTGACAAATCCATGGGGGGGCGAAGCAACATAAAGCAACACTCCTCATTTTTAGCTTCTCCATTTTCTGCAGGTGAATCTTTAATTTCTTGGTTAGTCACTTTGGCCTGTTTTCCCTTTGCTCCCCTTTTCCCTTTTGTTTGCACTTTTTTATCTGAAGATTTATCCTTTGCTGCTGCCTTTTTCAGCTTCGTTTCCAGTTTTGCAGGAGCAGTTTTAGCTGACAGCCTCACAGATCTCCTCTTGGGCTCCTCCTGCTCTGCCCCTTGGGCTGAGCTAAGCTTCCTCTTGGGCATCTTGGCACCGGAAAGGGTGCATGTTGGGTGCCTGCCCTCCTCGGTGCACAGAGAGCCTTCGTGAAGCTGGGCTGCCTGGCCACTGCAGCTCCTCCCACTGCCTGAGCTGTTAGTTGTTATTTCATTGTTGTTAGAAATTTTAATTTTTTCTGTATATTGTTCAGCTTCTCCTTGTTTTTTCTTCCATGAAATTATTCTAATTTACCTTCCTGCTGTGGTACATTCCCAATAATGAACATGTAGTGTAAAGATAGTAGACCATATTGAATTAAAAATTAATCTCTCATTCTAAAGAAGAAGAGGTATAATACATTATACTGTGATTGTTCTCAAGACATCTGCATCTGCCATGGGGCCCTGTTAACTTAAACACCAAAGCTGCCACCTTAAATATTATACATCACCCAAACCATATTTTGTTGGCAGATCCTGCTCCTTCTCATCTTTCTCTGCACAGTGTAAGTCTGAGGACTAAGGCTGACCACAGGAACATTTTAAGGAAAGCCAATTTGCCTTCTCTGTTCTTCTTCTACCCTCACTTTGAGTTCATCTTAATACCCTCTATAGCATACTTCCTTCACGGTGACTAATTTTTTTAACCTCTTAAACATCTCTTTTCTCTATTCATAACACTCTCCATGCTCTAATTACAATGATATTTCTAAAGTTCAAACCTGAATTTGCCATGTGCCTACCCCATTTAAAACCCATTAAACAGCCCCTACCATTACCTTCAGGGTAAAGTTTAAATTTAAATTTCTCAGTTGGCCAGCAAGGCCTTCCATGTTCTGACTCTTACTTATCTCTCCCACCTTTCCTCTTCCTCACCACATTTTCACAAGAACTCTGCCTCAAAGCTTTTCCTGCTGGAATGTTCTCCTTCAGATGTTAAAATGGCTGTCCCCTCATCTGTTTCTAGTCTTTGCTCAAATATTACTTGCCAGGGTTAGGACCAAGACTAGGGTCAAGGAAATGAGGTGCCCGGGGCACAAAATTTAAGGAGGCACGGACTCTCAGGCTTGTGCAAGTGCAGGGTCAGCAACTGAGAGTAAGTGCCTCCTGAAGTTTTGTGTTCTGGGCCCCTCTCTTGCCTCACCCTAGCCCCAGCCTTCCCAGCCTACATTATTTAACATTGTAATAACCCCCATGACACACCATATCCCTCTCCCCTGTTTTATTTCTCGATAGCATTTATCATCATCTGACATATGTATTTACATATACACTTGTTACTTTTGTCTGTTTCCGATACAATGTAAGCTCTACAAGGACAGAGATTTTCTTAAGTTTTAGTCATTGCTATATATCTAGTGACTAGAATAGTAGGCACTCAATAAATATTTATTGGGTGAAGATTGTACAACTCTACTTGCAATTTCAACAATCCCTATGCTCTCTTCATCGCTTTACAGGTGCTGCTCCCTCTGCCAGGAATGTCCTCCCTGTGCAGTATGCCAAGTTAATTCCTACTAGCTCTTAGGAATTGGTTCAAGAGTTACTTTCTTTTGGAAGCCTTCCCTAACTCCCATTATGCTTAGTTAATTATCTTCTGCAACCCGTATATTATCACACTATATTATGGTTGTGTTTCTTGTCTATAGTCTTAACTGGACTGTGGGTTCCTTGAAGGCAGTGAATCTCTGACCACGTTAGTTTGCTATAATACAAAGTGCTTTGAAGGTGCTAAGACATGAGCTAGAATTCTTGTTTAGCCACTTACGCACTGAGCAAATCACTTAAACTCAGAGAGCATCAGTTTCCTTATCTGAAAAAATGAGGGCAATAGTGCACATTTTATGTGAAGGGTATGAAGATAAAATGACAATATGTGTATAAAGGACTAAGCATCTTGCCTAACACACAGCATGCACTCAAATAATGCTAAATATTACTATTTCTATCTTCCACCCAGCAAGCACTTAATGGAACTTGAGTTACACAGTAGGTGCTGAGGATGAATAAATGAATAAATGTTTCACCCTGTCTGTCCACGTCCTCACAATTTCATGTTCTGGACCTCCCTCTCCACTGTGTTCTAGAGTCGACTCACACTAATTCACCAGAGCTGATTGTTCACATCACTTCTCAATTCTGTGTTCAATACTATCTCATAGGTAACTCTAGATCGGTCATGGTGGGAGTATTTATGGAATAAATATGGATATATGGAACATGGAAATCATCAAATGCTATATATCAGGACTTTCCCTTTCTTCTCCCAAATCAGGTTATCAGCATACCACTATCCTATCCCTAACTTATATATAGCAATATGACAATGAATAGGGGAGACAGCAGAGATGATAATGACAAAATTTATATAATCTGTAGCAGATAGGGTGGACTTTGGATGTCCATTAAATCATAAGAGCCCCTAAGTGTGAAAAATGTTGGCTTTGTATGATCAGAATACATTTTCAACATAAAACATGCTTTAGAAAAGATACATAGTAATACATGCTGGATATATTAACTATATGGGGTCTAGAAAAAAATAAAGTTTATTTAAAGATGAAGCAGCATGTTGTGATGGGTATAACCTTTCCCTAGGTGGCTAGCTATGTGATCTGGAGCTAGATGTAAAGAAGTAATATGGTATTTGGGCCTCAGGTGCTCCACCTATTGAATGGAAATATTATCTTTCTTGACTAAAGTCAGTAGTCCAGATCTAATGCTTCTGACAGCCTTTCTGGCAGCATAGTTAATGGTATAACACAGTACAATGGTACTCTGGGTTATTGGTGAGAAGACATCATTCCTGAGTCTTAAATCTGCCACTTACTAGTCAGGTGTGGAGTCAGATCACAAATAAAATGAGATACCAATCTATGCTTTGTGTCCTTGATGGAGCGATTGTAAGGATCAAATGCAATGTAACATTGAAATATTTCTGATAAATCCCAGTATGCTATTTAAATTATTAATATGATGAGATTGTGACTGCTTGGATGATCTTTGATTCAATTTACTATGAGATTAATTGTCTGCCAAATGAATTTTCCCATCTCACCAGGGGGAAGGTTGGTAAAAATTGGTATTGACTAGTGAACTTTTTCAATAATTATTGGCATTGTAAAGATAAACTACACTTAGTCTTTGCCAATTTTCTTTCTTAATTATAGTGACCAACAGAAACCTCAGGATCTCTCTCTTTCCTGATGCTGGTTGAAAGAAATCATTCTTCTATCATAATATCTCCAATACCTTCTCAGAATAGTAGTTCTGAAAAGGGAAGTGCAATGGCAATTACTTGTTAGAAGAACATTTCAGTCTTCTCTCATACTGTGATTTTTTTAGCCACATTTATTGCAGATTTTGTCAGATTATAAAAGAACCATAGACTTATTGGAGAACTGACTGTCGATTCCATTTGTCTTTATTGTATAAATGCAGTCCTTACTTTCTCATAGTTTCTCATCTAAAACAAGCACCAGTGATTTAGTACAGCTGTACAAACACTGAACCAGATCATAAAGGGAGGAAGTGTAATTGATGTGTTAGTATAAAGAGAAACAGGATAAGCAACAGATCCAACAACAACAAAAGTGCTTTCGCATCTAGGTTTTACATTACCTGTGAGCTTGACTTCTGGTTCAATTCCCAGTTCTGTTACTGGCACAACACACTGCCTCAGGCAAATCACTTAACCTCCTTGTGTGCCTGACTCTCTGTGAAAAAAATGAAGCAAAGATACAGCTTAATGTTTATGTAACACTTAGGGCTCCTGGAAGCATAATGCCATGGTGTATTGGTGGTAGACATAAGAAAACATACTTTTTGAAATTTTAGCTGCAAGTTTGTAGATTCTCAGAGTCCACATGAAAGCATCATATTTAAAGTTTGATATACAGTTACATGTCTTACCTTTATAATGAAAAAACAGCCAAATTGATACCAGGCTGCCCAGGCCAAATAAGTCACCTGCTTCTCTTCATGGATACTGACATTTGCCTTCTGTTCTTTCAAGAGCACGAAAGAGCTTCATTCAATCATGTGCAGAAAAGGTCTTAAAGTCCTTCTAGGGTCTTGATACAGCATAAATGAACCTACTCATCTCCAGGCTAACCTAACCTAACTGATGCTGGCCATTACAGAACATAATAAATACTGGGCATTTAGGAACATACATCAATAGCCAATAATAACTGTCATTTATTGAGTGGCGGCAGTATGCCAGCTCTTTATATAGATTCCTATTCCTCACAAGTACTCCGCAAAGTTAGTATTATCCACATTTACAATCTGTTAAGACTATAGTAGGACCCATGGCCAAGTCTAGGCAAAATAGGACAATTTTGGGACTAAATAAAATAGGACTAAAATTTTGTAATGAGATGGAGAAAAATATAATCACCAGAACTCCCTTCATGGAAAGAACTGTATTTGTCCTGAAGAAATTCATTGAGAAATGTACTCGTAAAAGTTGAGATAGTGTTTATATTATATAAGTTGTTCATTGTAAGGACACATGGGAGATAAAGCGAGTGAGGGCTGGAATCTAGTTTACACTTAGCTTGTCAAGCTCTGCTTTGTGTCTGGCAAAAAGAGTGCCTTTGGTTTCGCACAAAGGCGCCATCCAGTTGCCAAGCCCTTACTCTCAATGTTATATCCAACCAGAGAGGAAATGCATGTTTTTCTAATTCATGCAATAATAATTTGTAGGTAAAAGAAAAAGTCTCCCCTTCGTAAATCTGACTACGTTTTTAATTCTTCATCATTTATATATTTATAGCCAATACCAATTTCTGGCATTTGGCTAACTGCTTTATAAACATTGTCTCATTTGATTGTTACAACAACCTATTTTATCTCTGTTTCACAGTGCTGTGCTCAAAGCACAATTCTTAGTGGTAGAGTCTGTATTTGAACACAGCTTTGTCTTACTCCAAAGATCATGCTTGTATCTTTAAGGCTATACTGCTACATCGTAACATTAGCTGTTGTACATACAGTAAATATCTCTATGTATTGACAAAATAAAAGCTAAAAATATAAAAATC